GGTGGAGCATGGATGATGAATTTTGCTGCTATGCGCACCTGAAATGAAAATCAGCCTGTGGCATACTCACCGTTAAAGACCTCATTGAATTCTCCTGGTGGAGCATGGATGATGAATTTTGCTGCTATGCGCACCTGAAATGAAAACAAATGGTATATTTTTAAATAGTTTTAACATAATTTATAATGGAAACAAGTTATACTTTAAGAAACACTGAAGACTATATTAAAAGAAATGGATTCATTTTTAAGGAAGAAATATAAGTTATACCTTAATTCTACCACATAGTTGTTACAGAAGTCTAGTTGTTAACTTAAAAACAAAAGATCTCCAGCAAGAATAACACAATACAGACATAATACTCAGGAGGTGCAGAAAATAATAATCTGTTAGGACTGAACTGCATGTAATACCCCAGAACAGTATTTTTCTCCAATGCTAACAGCAACTTCAAAGGTAGGATTTTCATTAGGACTGCAACCAAAGATGGGGGGTTTACATTTTCTTCTTCTAACCTGGTGTGACTCATAATAAGCTCCTTCACGATTACACTATTGTAATCAGTTCTCTCTTTGTAATGAAATGCTTTGTCAAATAAATGAGCACAAAATATCAATACAATAATATGGGTTAACTTTGCAAAATTTCAATAACCTGCAAATATGCATTAAACATCACTTTTAGAACAACTTTTAAATTCTTTAATGCTACAAAATGTGTACAAAGGGCAAGAGAAATACACATATGACTGTTTAAACACGAAGATTTGAGCTTTTTTGCTTAACACATACACAAGGGGATAAGAAATGAGATGCTCCTCTTAACCTCCTGTTTATGACCACAACGGAAATCAATGTAGTTAAAAGCAAACCCATATAGCATGTACATGCCTTTATAAGGCAATAAGAATGCTCAGAGATACTTAGATTTGTATTTACAAAAAACTTACCCTGGTATCCTAGCTAATATTTGATTAACCTAAACTCAATCAGAATTTTTTCATGAAGAAATAGACAAATTTGATCACTAAATAAATAAAACTGAATCATATTAAATAACACAACTGAAAAAAAATAGTGGCAGGCCCTGTCAAGAATGACACAGCTTACCCAATAAAATTAAGAGTCCTAACTAGACACTATGGTAATAGGTCAATTTACATTTTATAATTAGATGTAAATAAAAATATTATGCAGAAAACCTGTGAGCATATTATGCAGTCTTCTGTGTACTTTGTGTATCTAAGTCTCATGTTACTTTGTTCCTAGCCCTCCTCTTTCACAGATCACTTGTCAGGAGAAAAACTGCTTGAAAGGGGGAAAGGGGACACAACAGAAGGAACCAATAGTCCCTTTCTGCCTGTTACTCTTTTTTAAAAAAAACTATTGTGTAGACAGCATGGCCTGTATTCATATATATGGGCTATATATTTATTACATCTAAACTTGAGAACCAATGTGGATGACAATGAGCTTGAGTTTTACTTGAGAGAGCAATTTCTATTTAACCATGAATCTCACACCATTCTTGAAAAAAGAAGTCAGCCAGTCATATAGGAATGTCATATAGGAAACCCATATTGGGTTTTTTGGATGGAAAGGCAGAGTAAAGTGCAATAAAACAGAAAGGGAAACTGAAATATTTATTTAAAACAAAAAGTGGGAAGAAGAAAGATTAAAGATCTCTCCTGACATTTAAAACATACATACATTTAAAACATACATTAAGACAGACACATGTAAAGTCTTGCAATGCATATGTTTAACTACGGCACAGATTTTGTGATAATTTACAATAATTAGTGATTTGATAACTATATAGTACAGTTTATTTCTCTTCCTTAATTTGCATTTTTAGTTTTGTCTCTTTTCTAATTTTTTTAAGCTTAAAGATTGTTGCAGGGAAGTGGGTGGACTCTTCCTCCCTCACATAGAAATGAGATGAAAAACCAGGATAGCAGCACCTCACTGCCACATACCTGTTGGAGCCACATAATTAGTTCACGTTATTCACCTGTCTACAGAGTGACATCTGTTTGTGCTTCTTTGTAGAATGAAAATGATCCCAATTTTTTTTTAAATGTTAAGAACACTGTAACCTAATGCTTAATTTGAAAGTGTGCCTTCCTGCAAAGCAAAATAATGAAGGTAAGTGAAGTAGGTGGGACCATCCAAAAGAAGAAGGTAGGATTAGTTGGTTGGTAGGTATCATTTTGGTAAATCAGTGTTTTGAAACTGGTTATATCTCCATTATAGTCACTTTCTGAATGAATAAGGTATATTATGTGACTATGTGTGTATAGTAATGTATATTACCAGTTTGTTTCCGGGTCCAATTCAAGGTGTTGGTGTTGACCTTTAAAGCTCTTCATGGCATGGGACTGGGTTATTTGAGGGACCACCTCTCCCTGATTTCATCTGCCCATTTTACCAATTCCAGCAGAGAGGGCATGTTATGGGTTCTGTCACCTAGGGAGCTATATCTCACGGGCCCTAGGCAGTGGGTCTTTTCTGCTGCAGTGCCCACGCTGTGGAATCTTCTCCCCACTAAGGTTGGCCTTGTCACTGTTGAGCTTCCAAAGGTCCCTCAAGACCTGGTTATGCCAACAGGCTTGGGGGCCCCAAGAGACGGGTGAGCTAGTGAGGTGGGTCCAGTATTTTTAATATCCCTTTGTTATTTTTTTCTGTTTTAGTGGTTTTTATATCTTTTAATGTAGAATATTTATTGTTTTTAGCTTTGTTGTACGCTGCCCAGAGTCACTGGCTGGTGAGATGGGCGGCTATATAAATTGTATGTATGTATGTATGTACGTAAATAAGTAAATAAGCCTTCCAGCCACTGTGAGAATTCAGCAATACATTCTCAAAATATCAACCAACACTAAGAATTGAAGATCCTTGTTATAGACATAGCCTTTAACAAAATCTCTCATGAAAAACTTCTGAGAACATTTAGCAGTTAAGTATTGATATATCTAAGTATATCCCAGAGTTATTTTAAGGATATGTTACATATCTGTAAGAAACTCAGAGGTTTTACATTTGGGTTAAATATTCCAGGGGGTAACATCTGGAGTCTGTACTTCCTGTTTATCAGCAAGATCTATAATGAAAAGTATTTGTGGGAGCCCCAGGACAGAGATTGGTCATGTTTCTGAAGCTGGAGTAAGGATCATTTGTACAGGTTTCCCCCTGCCCCCCGCCCAGGTTTTGGGAGGAGGGTATATTAAGCCTAAATGAAGGTCTAAATGCCTGCTTTTAGATGGGAAATAGTGGGAAACTACTTCTGTTTTTCAGCACTTTGCAACTGATATTCAGTTACACAATTTCTTACCATATCACCATTGCTGCTGCCTCAGTTCCTTAGATTCCCTTCTATAATGAAAACAGTTAAGACAGACACAATTCCAGATTCTGTGCAACCTCCTTACCTTCCTTTAGAGCTCTATTTTCCTTGTCATCCAAATGTCTAACTCTAGTTTCCTGCTGATTTATTTACAATTCTCTGCAAATTTGTATTCAGAAATGTTATATCTTATGCTACAAAATATAGTGTATTTTAAGGAAGTAGGGTTCCTGATTCAAAATTGAAAGTTGCACAATATTTTCCCTCATGAAACCTACCTAAATTATTTCTTCATATATTTGCATTTCCTCTTTAAAGAAGCATACACTTGTCTGCAGATATAATAACTTGGTTCCTGAACTAAGAGTACTGGAGGAAAGCTGCCCATTCTCTTCTTTCCAATGAAATTACCAACTATGGGGGAAAACATGGGGAAACGATAAATTCCTTGTATAAACTCTGTTCATACAAAAATTGTCCTCCTGGACTCTCCCTAATCATGCATGCTCCAAAGAGGAGGCTTTATTCTCTGGCCCAAATTGATGCACTATCCATCAGGGTGACATCTGAAAGATATTTCAACCTTCCATATGAAAATTGAATGTGTACATGTTTTGATATGAAAACTGAATCCATATCCCATGTTCAATTAAAATGTCCACTTTATACACAATGGCATTTAAAACTCATAACCCCAGTTATTATAAAGTTTAAGTTTCCTCATGATGAGGAAATTACTCCTTAAGTGATCAATTCCTAAATGTATCAAGGGCAGTAGCAATTTTTTTATCTGCAACTTTAGCCCATAAAAATTGGCTGATGCCTTCCTCACATCCTTGATTGTCTTTGGCTTTTATGTAATTTATTATATGATTTTTTTTCTTAACTGCTGTATATGTTTCAATTTTTGCTGGTTTGGTCTTGGGCTTTAAATTAATAAGTAATAAGATCCAAGCAACAACTTTGCACTGGAAAGAATATTACCACATTTGATTACTCTGCCTTAATCCAAAGTGGTGGTTTTTGTACTCTAGAGAAAAATGGAGACCTTTTGGGAATTACATCAAGAGCATGGTTTTCAGAGGATATCTGTGTAATATCTATCATTGTGTTATCATCAAGAATTTAAACCTAAATAAACATACTTTTAAGGCAATGTTTATAAATATATAAACATTCCCTTTACCACCACATCCAAATAACTGAAGAGTGCACAAGACAGGACTGAATCTTATGGCATCTCATTTGACATATCTAGTTTAATGAGAAATTGATAAGCATGCTTTAAATATCATTTTTGAATCAGCTATGCATCTACTTAAGAGTCATGCCAATAAATCCAAATAAGTTCAATGAAACATATTGTGAAATCCATGGTGGCAAAGAACTGCCACAGAAAATTCTGTGTCTAGTGAGGAAAAGGACTGGCCTTCATTCTTTGATTCACAATTCAAAAGAGAATTTGGACCCAACAAACAATGTGCAATTACTCACAGGAATCAGAATGATTCATTTAAACTCTTTTTGTTTCTAATATAAAATGCTAGCACATCAGGATTGCCACTGTCAACTATGCAAAACAAATAGCCTTTTTTAAATACAAACACCTACACTCTGCCCTAGCTTTTAGATCACTTGTGAAAATTACTATTAATTTGTGTTTACATTACAAGATCTGGGCTACAAAAACCTTAATGACCACTATATGGAGCACACAATTTAACTCTTTGCTGTTATCTAGTGGTCATCCAGACTTTTGCAGCACAAATCTGAGGGTTCAATATGAGAAATGTTTAACCCTGAAACCTCTTACATTTTAAACTGTAATTAATGTAAATTCAATGCTCTTTGTGGTTCCTACAGCAATCACTTAGCACAGCTATCCTTCTGCAAACAGAACCCCTAGATCACTGTTGGGTTCACATATAACTAAGCTTTGGTTTGTTAAACTATGTTTTACTGAACAAACCACAAGTAACACAACACATCAATTAACTCTCCCACATGGTCTACCAGATGCATGAATCTAAGCCACATGCTTTAAGTTTGGCAACTGTGGAGTTAATAGACCATGGTTAAGGATGTGATCACTTGGCATAATGGGAGGATCAAATCAAAATTTTGCAAGATGGTCTTCAGCCTGGTTTAACTGAAGGGGAATAAATTAATAAAGATCTCAAACTCCTTTTCATGTCACTGTATCAAACTGAAGAACAAACATAAAAGAATACATCAATAAATTAGTTGATTTATATTTATTCAATATTTATTGAATAAAACAGTGTAAGGGAACCTCATACATTTTAAGATCTATCTGTAAAATAGCTTACACATATATGTAAGAAGTAATGTGGGAATGTGACAGCTGCATGTTGTAAGGATACAAGTATACCAGGAAGATGTACAAAAACATGCTTAGCAACAAACATGGGTTTATTACTAACCAGGTTTTCACCTCATGCTACACCATAAGCCATCATTGTAAATCATAATAGATAGATTCACACAACAAAAGCAAACCCAGGTAGGCCACATTCTTTACTGTGTGAACTGAACCACATTCACACAGTAAATGAATTGAGTGAGGCATTTCTACCATGGCTCTGAGCAGACTAAAGGTGAAAGGCATGCAAACATTAATGCTCCTAGGAAGACATGAGATAGGAAGAAATTATCCCTCAGTCAGTCAGAACTACCCTTAGCACCAGAAGATAAGTTTGGAACCAAACAATTAACA